CCGGCCGCCAGCATGTCGCTGCCTCCGGAGAAAGCCTCGGAGCTGAAGCAGCTCATCCACCAGCAGCTGAGCAAGGTGAGAGCGGGCGCCGCAGCGGCCCGGCAGAGCCAGGCTCCTCCTGCCCTCCCGGCTCCCGAGCTCCCAGCTGGCAGCCCTTCCTGGGCGGACGCCGGCCCGGGTTCGCGGTGGGACACAGCACGGTGGGCAGCGCTTCGGCAGACCCCGGAGAGCATTCTAGCCTCCTTTCGAGAACAAGCCTAGAAAGTGCTAGTAAAGGCTGAGCTGGTAAAATGGTCTTGGCATTGCGGGACAGCTTCAGCGAGCGATTTCCGAAAATTGAGCGTAAGTGGTTTTTGGAGCAGATATGTATTCAGAAGTAAGATACCAGCTTTAATTAAGGATAAATCCCGTGTGTACCGTTGAAATTGAACTAGGCGCTTCAGTCAGCGCTTCTTAAAGAAGGCGTCTAAGAGAAGTTACTAAGGGGTTTTGACTTTTATCCTCAAAAGTATGTGCGTTACTTCGGGGTTTCAGAACAGCTCAGTCTCTGAGGCGCTCATCCGTGGTTTATGGTGCCCGGCTCATGGCAGGCTTTGTGCTAGGTGCTCAGCTGGGTGCTGTGTAATGTTCACAGTCTTGTGAGCGCGCACTCGTTTTTCCCTAGTATAGGTGAAGAAATAGATCCATAAAGGGTAATTAAGTAAACTCAAGGTGACGCATATAAATTGAAAGATGGCGTGGTGATTGAGGCGGTTTGAGTACACACTTTTTCTCTCTTTCTCTGGTCAAACTGAAAAATAATAATAAATAAAATTAAATGATAACAATTATAAATAAATAAATCGAAAGGCGAAATTACACAATGATCGTGCTACTGTAAATCTGTGTTCTTTTGCTTTTGCTATCCTCCCTCTCAAAAACTTTGTTTTGGTTGAGCCTTATATGTAGGTATGGATAATAAAGGTAGTAGGCAGTGAGTAGAGATTGTTTCTAGAGTTTGTACTCAAGTTTCACATTTGTGAGGCTTATCTTTATCTTCATTCAATTGTGGTAACAATTAAAAATTTACTATTAGCCGGGAGAAGCCTAAATCTTGAGGAGCAATATTTTTGACTGCTTTGTATCGTAAATTGTAATTCAAATTTTCCCCATAGATGGATGTCCATGGCAGAATAAGAGAAATCCTTGCTGAGACAATACGGGAAGAATTAGCACCTGATCAACAACATTTATCAACAGAAGATTTGATCAAAGCCCTTAGACGGCGAGGAATCATTGATGACGTGATGAAAGAACTGAATTTTGTTACTGTGAGCAATCTTTCAGGGAAAACAATCAAAAGTGTAATTGTGCGTTCAGGCATAACACTTTATAGGTTTCGTATTTGAGGCCTCTCTTTTTAGTGAAACTACTTTTAAAATAATACTCTGTGTAGTTAGAACATACTTATGTTTCAAGTAGAAGCTAGCTCTGCTTTTTTTTATAGCAAATAGTATTATATATCAATATATTTGAATAACATACCATATTCCTCTTTGTAGAATGATAAAATTTCATTTCCTAGGTTTTTTTTTTTTTTTTGTAAATGTACATATCTTAGTCAAATTAGTTCATTAGGCCAAAGTTCTTTTTCACTAAAATGTTCTATCATCTTTGTAGACAGCTTGTTTTAAAAATAATTTTGGAGGGACTGTGTTCTCCATGATTAACAAATTATAGATTTCTTTAAGGAAATAATTGGCCTCATAAGAGTCCTCAAATCATCTCTTACAAATAGGTCAGTAGTGGGATGACAGTCTTTCAGTGCACAATTAGTAAGTAGGCCTTCTTTTGAAAATGAGGCAATAATGAAAAACTGTGACCTCAATACCTAGGTAATATCATGTAAAAATTGGATGGGCTTCATAATGCTCCAGGGAATAAGTATTTTAGTACAGCACTGTTTTTTGGTTTGGAGGTTTATAAGCCCATTTGTTATAAAAATTGGCCTATTAATATCTTCTGCTATGTGAATATCACTTCCTTATTAAAATCAGTTCATGGCAGAATCCTAAGCCAGATGTTAAATAGTGTTCAGGGAAAGTTTAACATTGCTTAAGGTTTTAAGGATTTGTTTTTAACATTCTGTGGATAGCATTGCTTAAAGACAATTCCTTACCATTATTCTTTAGGAGGAACCAGTTATATCATCTTTTATGTAGGCTTTTATTTTCAGTATTGTAATTGTATTACAAAAATAAGGGGCCTTCTTTGAAGATGCCTTATCCTGTTTACTTCCAGTTCTGTGCTTACTCCTATTGTTGGTGTTTTCTTACCTAACTATGCTTTTTATTTTTTCTTCATTTTTATTCTTTTTTTGCTTTTCTAGGACAGTGTTGATCAAGATCTCCCTTCCTCCCCCAAACAACCTGTTTGTTTTGATAAACAATCAACATTAAAAAAAAGTATGTATATCTTAAACTTAATTTAGTTGTGGTTAGTAATGAATGTAGTGTTTGGTACTTGGGGGTCCTCAAAAAGTTCATGGAAAATGTGTATTATCAAAAATTTATGGGGGCCAGCAGGTGGTGTGTTGATTAAGACATGAGACTCCCACATGGCCAACCACCATTAGAGTCCCAGACCCAGGGGCTTGAAAATCATGCTGAGCATGTGTGTGTGTGCAGTTGTGCATGCCCCAAATCCTGAGAGGAGAATGGAAAAGAGGTTATGGTGTACCATCACCCTTGGAAGGTGATTTCTCACTTTCCCTCTCTGTCTCTCTTGGGCAAGCCCATATAGCCTATGGCAAAAACCTAGACAACAGCAATTATAATAATAATAATAAAAACCCTATGTAATGGGTTTCAAAAATTTTTTGCATCAAAATAAACTCATACTTTTAATTTCATTTTCCACTAACTTTTTAAAGTCTCTCATATTTGATAGAAAGGTTTTTTTCTTTGGTAGAGGCTTTTGCCTTAAGGTACATGTGCTTGCTAGAGAGAGACAGATAGTGAGAGGGAGAGGGAGAAAACATCCCCCCCCCCGTGGGGGATGGTCATGCTGCAGTCTCTTCTCTTCCTTTTTCCTCCTGGGATTTTGTGTATTTATGTAGGTGTGCTACGCATGAGTTTCAAGCCACCGAGTCTGGGACTTGAATCGCAGTCGGCCACGTGGGAGTAAGCAACCTAACTGCAATGGCATCTGCTGACCCAAAATGTTTAGTTTTTTCCAAGATGAATTACTTAAATGTTTGTGTCTAGTTAACCAAAACCTTAAAGGTTCTGTTTTATAAGAAGTATATCAGAAGATTTAATGTATAGTGCAGTAGAAACAAAAACAAAAAACACCAGTTTCTCATGTTCTGATAATGTATTTTGAAGAACAGTACAGCCTTGCTTTTCTAATGATAATATAATTGGACAAATACACTTGCTGAGTTGGTAATAGCCTAGGTTGGTTTGTTGTGGTAAAGAAATGTTGGATAAGCAGTTAAAAAAAGGTATACCTTGCCTCGTGACCCCTTTCTAGCTAGGGAAAGTAGCCAGAATATAAACTAAAAAAATATCGTATTATGCATCTCTTTTTCTCAGAGCACAAATGATCCTACTATATAGTAACTATATTATTCCTTTATTTAGTCTTTGGTATTATTTTTGTCAAGTTATTATTTCCTAATGTCTTGATCACATTAAGTTATTTGGCAGTTTCCTCATATATATTGCTACACTTTACAGCTAATATTGATCCAACACGGAGGTATCTTTACCTTCAGGTTTTGGGTGGAAAAGCTTTCTTGGAACATCTGCAAGAACCTGAGCCTTTACCGGGACAAGTTTGTTCTACTTTTACTTTATGTTTACATTATCGAAACCAACGTTTTCGTTCTAAACCTGTTCCATGTGCCTGTGAACCAGATTTTCATGATGGTTTTTTACTTGAAGTACACAGAGAAAACTTAGGTAAGGAACAATAATAAACAGTCATTACTTGATTAAATGTATGTTAGGTTTTTGTGCAGAATGACTAACAACTTTTGCTATATGGAAAGTGACAAATTCATCTCCTTAGTCTTTTGTATTATTTTTTTCCCCACTGTTCTTTTTATCTTAAACTACTTCTTTCCACCTTCTTGCTTTATTCTGTTTGCTTACTAATTTTCCCTGACAATTATTTTTCTATTGTTTTAATTGTGATGCTTTAGTAATAAACACTTAAATACCTATTAGGTATATAGCACTGTGCTAGGCGGATGCTAGAGTAGAGATGTGGAGAATTACACGTGGGCCTTCTTTTTATATTTTTTCCACCTCCCATGGGAGATGGCCACACCGCAATCCCCTCTCTTCCATTCTCCTCTCGGGATCTTGGGCAAGCATGCACATGCACCCAGCATGAGTTTAAGCAACCAGGTTTAGGACTCGAACCGTGGTTGACTATATGGGAGTCCAGCGACAGCCATTATGCCGACTGCTGGTCCCAACATTTTGGCCTTCTTATTTATGAAGGATAAACAGATTTATTTGTTTGTTTGTTTATTTATTTATTTTAAAGAGAGATTTTTGCTATAGGGTGCATACGGTTGCCAGAGGGACAGAAACAGAAAGTGAGAAATTATACCCCAGGAGGGATGGCCACACCTCCATTCTCCTTTTGGGATTTTGGCAATGCACGCACATGCACCCGATGTGGGTTTCAAGCTGTTGGGTCTGGGACTTGAATCACGGTTGACTATCTGGGAGTCCAGCAACGTAACTGTTACACCATCTGCTGATCCCAGGATGGACAGGTTTATTATGTTATAGAGCTCTTAAAAGTCAAAGTTTATATGTGAATTTACAATTCTCTTTTTCATAACTTTAAATTTTATGGTGCATAATTCCTGTAACTACTTTACACTGTGTTTCTTTTCATAAAGGGATTTTATATATTTTAGTCAACACATAGTTTGTAAAGTAAGCAGAATTGTAGAACTATACCTTTAGGATTTTAGATTTTAAGATGGCTAATGCACTATTTTTTTTTTTTTTTGAGAGGTTTTTGCTATAGGGCGCATGCGCTCGACAGACAGACAGACAGACAGAGATAAGACAGAAAGCGAGTAATCACCCCCCAGGGGGGATGGCCACACCGCAGTTCCTTCTCCTCCATTCTCCTCTCGGGATCTTGGGCACGCATGCACACACACCCAGTGTGAGTTTTAAGCCATTGGGTCCAGGATGCGAACTGTGGTCGACTACATGGGAGTCCAGCGACATAGCCATTATGCTAACTGCTGGTTCTGGCTAATGCACTATTAAAGTTCATTTATTTTTTTCTCCTATAAAAAATGTACCAACAAAGCAGTTGGTGGAACAAATTGCTAGTCTTGAGGTGGTAAATCTCACAGTTTTGTGTAAACGATTCAGTGATCCTTTTATGAGGTTAAGGAATAAAGGTAGTTTGAGGATTGATGCTGACATTTTCTAAGGCTTTTTATTGTGGTAACATGTAGTTTAGGTAAGTACTTTGAAAGAACAGACTCATCTCTTGTGAGTCAGGAAGCATGGATATGCTGTTAGATAGCTGCATAGGCCATCATAATTTGCCATTGTTTCAACAGTTAGTGATAGAAATAATACTGTACTTTTATTCCCAATCTCTAGCATGTTTTCTGAGACATCACCAAATTGTTCTATTTAGTTTTATATAAGCTTATTATTTTGTATACTTGCAGTAAAAGTATTCTTTTATGTTGATCTATCTGAATATGTAATGTAATATTTTCTTTTGTTATATTGCTAGGTGATGGAACTAGAATGGCTGATTCAACAACAATGTTATCTATCAGTGATCCAATTCATATGGTGCTAATTAAAACGGACATATTTGGTGAAACCACTTTAGTAGCTTCCTATTTTCTGGAGTGGCGATCAGTTTTGGGCTCAGAAAATGGAGTGACTAATCTGACTGTGGAACTTATGGGTGTAGGTATGATGATTAGTATTACTGTTACTTTTTATAGCCGCAGTTTCTTTGTAATACTTTTTATCTCTTTAAAATGCTCTTAGAAGCCAAAAGGAAAACTTTTAAAACAGAAGTTCATTATAATTACAGTTGGACTCCAGTATTGTAGTCATGGAGAATGTCTTGAAAAATAGTATCAGTGTAGTATTTTGGTCAATCTGGAATTGTCTTAGAACATTTTTTCCTTTGGAAGAGGAATGTAGACTTTAAAAAGTTTTTTTCGTCAGTTTTTCTCGTGCTCACTAGAGACAGGGAGGTAGCGAAAGTGAGAAAATACACTCCCATCGGGCATGGTCACAGCATAATCCCTTCTCTGCCTCTCCCTACTTTTGGGATTTTGGATGCACACGTCGAGCCACATGCCCAGCATGTTTTTCAAGCACTGATTCCAAGACTCTAACCGTGCAGTCACCCGTGTGGGATCTAGCTAGCTGCCTTAACAGCCAGACTACAGGCTGGCCTCAAAGTCCTTCAAATTTTTTTCAAGTTTATTTGATTAAATATGATGATATAAAGAAAATTAAGATTCTTCACACACATCCGCATACATGCAGTAAAGGTACTCCTGCACACACTGTCAATATCAACATTAGTGCTTCTGAGGGGGAGAGGTGATGTCTGTCTTTGCGATCATTGTCTCCTTGGACTGTTGCCTGATCTTTATGTAGTAGATACTTGCTAATAAAATGGGAAAACAAACTTCTATATCTATATCTATATTTATGTTTTAACCTATCAATATTTTATTTTATTTTTTTAAAGAATTATTTAACTTTATTTATTATTATTGTCATTATTATTTTCCAGTTTGATCAGAGAGATACAGAGAGAGAGAGAGAGAGAAAAAGGGAGAGGAAGTGAGAAAGCAAGCCACCAGGTCCAAGACTTGAACCATGGTTGGCCATGTGGGAGTCCAGCACCTCTAACCACCATGCCACTTGCTGGTCCCAACCTATCAATATTTTATAGATAACATGTAACACAATTATTTTGGTGTTAAAACTTAGTCACAGAGTTAAACCTGGCCATTGGACAGGATAGATTTTGTAATTTGGATTTCAGTAAGTCAGACCCAGACTATGTTTTTTAAGTAAAAAGTAGAGATAAAGTTTTCTTATATAAGGTATTGATTTTCAAAACAGTAAATTATTTCATTTATCTTTTTTTTGAGAGGTTTTGCTATATGGCATGTGCGCTTGCCAGAAAGACAGGGAGAGACGGAGAGACAGAAAGTGAGAAATCACCCCCCAAGAGGGATGGGCACGCCACAATCCCTTCTCCTCTCGAGATCTTGGGCATGCACGCACATGGGCCTGACGCGAGTTTAAGCCACTGGGTCTAAGACTCAAACCACAGTCGACTACATGGAAGTCCAGCGACATAGCCATTACATCAACTGCTGGTCCCAATTTCATTTATCTTAAATAATAGGCCTGGGCCAGTCAATAGCATGTTGGTTAAGGCTGCTGGATCCACATGGCCAACTGCGTTTGAGTCCCAGACTCACCAGTTTGAAAAACACATGGGGCACATGTGTGTGCATTCCCAAAACCGCAAAGAAGAATGGAGAAGGGATTATAGCCTGGTCATGTACAAGGCAGGGGATGATTTCTCACATGTTCTCTCCCCACCCCCCACAGTGAGTGCACACTCCCTAAAGCTAACTAAAAAGATATGTATAATAAACCTAACGTGATAATCATAGTTATGACCTGGAAACAGTCCTATTCTGAATTCACTAAAGAAATACTTAATTAGGGGCCAGCAGGTGACATGGTGGTTAAGGTGCTGGATTCCCATATGGCCAACTGTGGTTTGAGTCCTGGACCCAGTGGCTTGAAAATCATAATAAACAAACACAAATACAAACTTTTTAAAAAAGAAAAGAAGAATACTAAATTAGTTGCAGCGTGAAGTATATTTGTTTTCTGATTCTTTAAATCTAGTAAAGGATTGAAATTTTATTTTCATATGTGAAGTGATAATGGGAAAGGGTAAATGGGAATTACTGTCTGCAAAAAAGACAGATACAGGACTGGTAGGTGGCATGGTGGTTGAGGAGCTGGACTCCCACATAGCTGACTGCAGTTTAAATTCTGAACCAAGCCTAGCAGCTTGCTTTCTCACTTTCCCTTTCTCTGTTTCTCTGTCTCTCTCTGGTCAAATTAAATAAGTAATTTTTAAAAATCGAGAATAAATGCTTTCAACTCTTTTTGTAAGGGGACAGAATGAGGTATATTTAATGAAACTCTGGTTGGTATAATTTAATGAAGATAGAAATTAATCACAAATCTTTTAGGTCAGAAAACTCCTTAAAATGGGGACTAGCAGGTGGTGTGGTGGTGTTGGATACTCCCACATGGCCGGCCAGGTTTCAAGTCCTGAATCTGATGGCTTGTTTTCTCACTTCCTCTCTCTTTCACTCTACCCTTTGTCTCTCTCTGGTCAAATTAAATTATTAAAAAAAAGAAAACTCCTTAAAATGTAGTTAGAAAGCTAAGAAAATAGTTTTATAATTAGATAAATGCCTTTGTAAAAAATAAAAACTAATTTGATTTGATACTTTTTTTTTTTAGAGAGGTCTTTGCTATAGGGCTTGTATGCTTGCTGGAGAGACAGACAGACAGAAGTAAGAAATCACCCCCCACCCCCTGCTGGGGATGGCCATGCCACAGTCCCTTCTTCTCCATTCTCTTGGGATTTGGGGCATGCATGGACATGCCCCCTGTGTGAGTTTCAAGCCTCTGAGTCTGGGACTCGAACCATGGTCGACCATATAGGAATCCAGCGATGTAGCCATTATGCCATCTGCTGGTCCCTCATTTGGTGCATTTTAAATGTGAACATTAACGACCATTTTGAATAGTATGTTTATTCAATGTAAGTGGTAAAACACCAAGTTCTTAGATTATTTTGGTTAGACTTCAGTTGCCTGAATGTACGCAATATTGAAACTTCTAAAATTCTGATATTTACATTTATAGGTACAGAATCAAAAGTTTCTGTGGGAATTTTAAATATAAAACTTGAAATGTACCCACCACTCAATCAAACATTATCTCAAGAAGTAGTGAATACACAGGTAAATAATTCTAAGTCTTTTTTGTATATTTGTTTTCATAGTAGTATATTTACCTGTTGATCTTAGAATTATTCTCTACTTAGAAAATTATCAGTTATTGGGACCAGCAGGAGGCATGGTGGTTAAGGGTGCTGGACTCCCATATGGCCAACCATGGTTTGAGTCCTGGACCTGGTGGCTTGCTTTCTCACTTTCTGTCTCTCATACTGTCCCTCTGTAGTCACATTTAAATAAATAAATAAAGTCAAATAAAATAATTTTTTTTTTTTTAGAGAGGGTTTTGCTATAGGGTGTGTGCACTCGCCATAAAGACAGAGACAGAGAGACAGAAAGCGAGAAATCACCCCCCAGGGGGGATGGTCACGCCACAATCCCTTCTCCTCCATTCTCCTCTCAGGATCTTGGGCATGCATGTGCACATGCCTGGAGTGAGTTTAAGCCACCGGGTCCAGGTCTCAAACCATGGTCGACTACATGGGAGCCCAGCAGCATAGCTGTTATGCCAAATGTTGGTGCCAAATAAAATAATTCTTAAAAGAAAAAAGAGGGATCAGCAGTTAGCATAATGACTATGTTGCTGAACTCCCATGTAGTTGATCACAGTTCGACTCCCGCACCTGGTGGCCTAAACTCAACACCGGGTGCGCATGCGCACATGCCCAGGATCTCGAGAGGAGAATGGAAGAGAAGGGATTGTGGCGTGACCATCCCCCCTGGGGGGTGATTTCTTGCTTTCTCTCTCTCTGTCTTTCTGGCAAGCACATGCGCCCTATAGCAAAAACCACTCCAAAAAAAAGAGAGAGAGACAATTATCACTTATTAGAGGGCCAGCAGGTGGTATGTTGGTTAAGGGACTTGACTCCTACGTGGCCAACGACGGTTTGAGTCACGGATCTGGCAGCTTGCTTTCTCACTTTTCCTCTCTCTTTCTGTCTCTCTCTCTAATCGAAATTTTTTTAAAAATTAAAAAATATTAAAAAAAAAAAAAAAGAAAATTATCAGTTATTTTTACATTAGCCCTTGGAGTCACTTGGTGGAGCAGCAGTAACAGAACACTCCAAAGTGCTGGAGCCATCTAGGAAAGTCCTAGGCGTGTGTCCCCAGGCCTCCCTGTATACACCAGACACACATGAACAGTGCTGGGCTGGCTGAGGCCGGGGGTGGATCAGGCTATGAAGACTCTGTTGGAGGTCTCTCTCTCTACTCCCCACCTCCTTCCCTCTCTCATTTTCCCTCTCCTTACTCCCCAGCTCCCCTGGAAATATTAAATAGTAAACTTTAAAAAATAGACTAGCACTCAGAAGTTAACAAAAAAGGATGAAGAAGAAATGAAAGATGAGGTTATTATCCTACAGGAGTCTAGAATCCAGTTTGGGAAATGCAGTGACCATTTATTGGAAACGACACAAGAATTACAACTTAAAAATGACAAAACTGAAAAGATTAAAGGAGTAATAGCATCAAGGGGGTGAAATTTCAGCGTTTATTTCATAGACGTTTATTGAGGACTTGTTGCTCATGCCATTTCTATTCTGTGTTGTCAGGATAGAAGTGCTTGTGACTTCTGGAGTGTATTTGGAGAGGCTTTGTTTCCTAACTCCACTATCTGGTCTCTGAAGAAGTACTTCCCTCCTGGATCTTGTAAGATCCTTGGTCCCTTCATCCCTTCAGATTACATTTGCCATCCTTATTTAGTTGTCAGTCTAGTTTTCTGGTTGTGACGATCTGCTGACATGTTGGGGTGGTACTTGGAGAATGACTCTCCTTCACTACATACTTTAGTTCTGAAATTGTGCCCAGAAGTGACCGTCCTGCCTTATCATGTACTTTGTAGTCCTGTGATTACTTAGTTTTGGATTGCTAGCCCTTCTCCAGTCAAACAATATTCTGCCTTGTTTTCTTTCTTTGTTTCTTTTTGTTGTTGTTGCCAGAGGTTGCATATGCTCACCAGGAAGAGAGAAAAAGCACCCCTTGATGGGGTTTGGTCACACCACAATCTCTTTTCCTCCATTTCTCCATCCCATCAGGATTTTGGACATGAGCACACATGTACCACTGTCTTTCAGGCCAGTGAGGCCAGAATTTGAACCAAGGTCAGCTGTGTGGGATCTTACTTCTAATGCACAGTGCTTAACCACCGTGCAGCTAGGCCATTGCCTGCCCTTTGTTCCTGAAACTTCCTTTTCCTGTCCTAAACTCTCATTGCCCTTTAATCTCTGACATCTTTGATATGTTAGGGGTGGTGTACACACCCATTGCTACATAGTGGGAACCAACCTTGATAATACTCCAATATATAGATGTGTATATGTATGTGTATAAGCACTGTACGCACACACACACACACAGGAGTTTTAATCATGTTATTAGTAAGTTTATGTAGTACATAAGTAAATATTTGGTTTAAGGTTGTTTGTTTTATGAAAGAGAGAGACATAGGCAGGCAGGACCCCTGAAGGGGTCTTAACCACTCCACGATTCCCCATGCTCTCCTAGCCTCCGGTCAGCCAATATCATGGGTGTGCTCCAAGCGTTCAGGCGAACCCCAGATCTGAACCCAGGGCCTTCCCATTTGACTCCAGCATCACATAGTGGTACCCTGCTGCCTATATCTGTGGCTAGCTGTGGTTTCTACTCCTTTTGTTAGGAATTTCTATTTACTCTCAAATAAATCAGTTCTTCTTTTCAAACCTAAAATTGCTTTATAAACATTTTTTCTTATTTTTGCTGTCATGTTTGCCATTTTTAGTGACTGAAATGTAAGTTTCTTTTATTCCTGCTAAATAAGTTGTTTCTAATTTTCTAAGTTTCTGCTTAAAATTGCACTGTTGTTAAACCTTTTTAAAGTCAGAAATAGTTGCTGATTTTAAATATGTTGAAAAGTGCAAGGTGAGGCCAGTGTGTGGTACAGAGATTAGTGTCTAGATTCCACATGAGTGACTACGTGGTTTGAGTCCCAGACCTGGTGGCTTGAAAGTCATGCTGGACACGTGTGTGTGCGTGACCAAAATCTTGAGAAGAGAATGCAAAAGTATTGCAGCATGGCCATTCCATCTGGGGATTGATTTGTCATTTTCCCTCTCTATCTCTGTGTCTCAGTCTCTGTCTCTCTGGCCAGCACACGTGCCCTATAGCAAAAGAAAAAAAAAAAAAAGGAAAAGTGCATGGCACTGTTTCAGACACTGGGATATTGCTGTGCACAGGGTAGACAGCTTTCTCTTAAGGGACTTAAATTTTGTAGGAGAGACAAACACTGAACAAATTACTTAGTAAACCAAATATCATAGTAGAAGGTAGTATGTGGAGAATTATTACAGGGTGACGTATGTGATAGAGTCGTTATTGGAAGACTGATGTGGGTCAGGTGATTAGGACAGCAAAAGATCTGAATGGCAGGAGCAGCCACAAAGATTGTGCCTTAACTTTCTAGGCAGTGGGAATAGACTTGAATGAATCCTCCTATTTGTATCAAAAGCACTATGTGGAGGGTGGATGGAGATGTGGGAGTAGAAAAATGAGATAGAGGCCAGGGTTTATAGACCAGAGCAGATTGTTTGCCATGTGATAGAAAATTACTGAATTTTTTTTTTTTCCCCATCGGGCTAGTGTGCTGACTAGAAAGATACAGGGAGAGAGAGAAAGTGAGAAATTGCCCCCCCTCACCACAGTGGGTGGTCATGGCACAATCCCTTCTCTGTTTTCTTCTCAGAAGTTTAGGTATGCTCCCACACGCACCTGGCGTGAAATTGAAGCCATCGGGTCTGGGACTCAAACCATGGAGTCAGCCATGTGGGATCCAGCTGCCTTAACCACTGTGCCACCTCCTGGCCCCTGATTGAAGTGTTTTAAATAAGGGAATGTCAGAATTTGATTTATTATTTTAAAATACCTGTCTTGAGAGGAAAAAAGGTCATTCTGATTGTTTGTAGAGAATTTATTATACGAGGATAAGTGTAATAAAAAGCAAGTCAGGAGGCTCTACTAGAGTAAAGGTGATAGCTCAGAATAGGGGCAGTGTGATGGAGAGAAGTAGATAGCATTGTTACCTATTTTAGAGGAAGTAAGGGAAATGAATATAAATTGAACAGTTTTATTTATTTATTTTTTAATTTCGAGCTTGCTTTGGAACGTCAGAAAACTGCAGAGAAAGAACGATTATTTCTCGTATATGCCAAGCAGTGGTGGAGAGAATATTTACAGATTCGACCCTCACACAACTCACGGCTGGTTAAGATTTTCGCACAGGTTTGTAAATTAGAAAACTTTCTCACCTGTATTTTAAGTTTATTATTGTCTTTCTAAATTTTATTTAGTTTATATTTGTAAGATATATTTATTCCAGATAACTGAATGCTTATTTGTAAAACAGTAATAAAATGCTGATTTGGTAATACTATCTTCCACTGAGTAGGTGAATGGCGCAGTACAGTCTTTGTTTTGTTTTGTTTTGCTTTGCTTTCAGTTTCTTTTTTTTTAGAGGTTTTTTTTTTTTTTTTTTTTTTTTTTTTTACTACAGGGTATGTGTGCTTGCCAGAAAGACAGAGAGACAAATCAAGAAATCATCCCCCAGGGGGGATGGCCACGCCTCAATCCCTTCTCCTCCATTCTCTTCTTGGGATCTTGGGCATGCACGTACACGCGCCTGGCATGAGTTTAAGCTGCCAGGTCCGAGACTCGAACCGTGGTCAACTACATGGGAGTCCAGCGACATAGCCATTGCGCTAACTGCTGGTCCTGCTTTGCTTTCAGTTTCTAATACTGTATTTTTTTGGGCCCAGTAGATGCTGTAATGGTTATATCACTGCGTTCCCATGTACTCGACTGTGGTTCGAGTCCTGTATCCAGTGGCTTAAAACTCAGGCCAAGCATGTGTGCATGCATGTCCAATCCTGAGAGAAGAATGGAGGAAAAAGGATTGTAGTGTGGCCATCTCCCTAGGGGCGGGGGGGTGATTTCTTTCTTTCTGTCTGTCTCTGGCAAGCGTACACATTCAATAGCAAAAACAAAAAAATACATACGGTTTTTAAGCATTTTCTGAATAATATAAATACATGGTTTAAAGTAGATAAAAATCTATACAAATCTATTTTGTTTGGGATCAGCAGTTGGTGTAATGGCTATGTCACTGGACTCCCATGTAGTTGACCATGGTTTGAGTCCCAGACCCTGTGGCTTAAACTCTCGCTGGGTGTTTGTGCGTGCGTGCCCAAGATCCCGAGAGGAGAATGGAGAAGGGAGGAGAAGGGATTGCGACGTGGCCATCCCTCCTGGGGGATGATTTCTCGCTTTCTGTCTGTGTCTCTCTCTCTCTGTCTCGTCCATCTATTAAATAAAAATAATAGAGCTGTTATGAGAATTCAGAGAGATTATATGTATAATACTTAACAGCCTAGTGCTGGATAGAAGATGAATGCTCAATAAATGGTATCCAGAATTGTTTTATCTCACATTAGAGTATTCTTAAAAAATATGTTAAAATTGGAGATGATTGATCTGTCGTGATAATAATGATTTCCCCCTCTTCCTCCAGGATGAAAACGGGATAAATAGACCAGTCTGTTCTTACATTAAACCACTTCGAGCTGGACGGCTTCTGGACACCCCAAGGCAAGCAGCAAGATTTGTTAATGTCCTTGGTTATGAACGAGCCCCTGTTATTGGAGGAGGAGGTAAACAGGAACAGTGGTGCACTCTGCTGGCCTTTCTCTGTAGAAACAAGGTATCAAACACACACAGTAGAATTAAATAATTCTGAATTTTTATTACTTTCATTTTTATTACAGTCATATCTTAGGAAAAACTGTACATAATGTCATTTTAAACAAATCAAAATCTTATTTTTACTATTTTTTTTATAACATTTAAATAGTAATATTCCCCGAAAAACTTTAACATCTTTAATTTCTCACGTAGTTTGTAACTGGACTTCATGTAGTTTCTGGGATGCAAGGACATCCTAGCATTGCAGAGTCAGTAGCCAAGTTACAGAGCAGAGCGAGAGAGCCAGTCAGGACCAGAGTCAGAATTTCCCACTATTCGTGTGTTAAAATTTGTTCAGATAATATATTTTTTTCTCTTTTTTATTTTTTTTTAGTTTGCTATGGAGCACATGCACTAGCTGGAGAGCGAGAGAGTGAGAAATCACCCCCGGAGGGAATGACCATGCCACACTCCTCTCTTCCACTCTCCTCTTGGATTTTGGGCATACGCGCACATATGCCCAGAGTGTGATTTTTCTTTTTAAGGCTCTGGGTCCAGGACTACAATTGCACAGTTGGCCATGTGGGATCCAGCCACCTTCATCCCACTTGGCCCCAGATAACACTAGTCTTTGGAAGAGCTGTGACCTGTTTTTCTGTGCAAACCACGGTTGGCCATGTGGGAGTTCAGTTCCTTAAGCACTACACCACCTGTAGTGGCCCCAATAATACTTTTTTAAAAGATAATATGGTAGTACAAAAAGAACATGGGAAAAATTCTTGGATTGTATAGTACTAAATATGTTCATTTAAATATAAAATGTATATTTAGCAATCTAAATTTATTGATTTTAAACTTATTTTTTGCCAAAGAGCTCGTGTTCTTGCTAAAGAAAGACTGAGAAAGAGGGAGAAAGCCCCTCAATGGGGCATGGTCACATTGCAGTCCCTTCTCTATTTCTCCATCTTTTTTTTTTTTTTAAGATTTATTTATTTTATTTTATTTTATTTGTTGGTTATTATTTAGGTTTTTTAATTTTAGCAAAGACATAGAGAGAGAGAAAGGGAAAGTGAGATAGCAAGCCACCAGGTCCAGGACTCAAACCACTTTTGGCCATGTGGGAGTCCAATACTTCAACCCTCATGCCATCTGCCAACCCCTCTATTTCTCTATTTTTTTGGATTTTTAGACATGTACATACATATGCCTGATACGTGTTTTTTTTTTTTTTAAAGAGGTTTTTGCTATAGGGCGCGTGCGCTCGCCAGACAGCGAGAGAGATACAGAGACAGAAAACGAGAAATCACCCCCCAGGGGGGATGGTCATGCCACAATCCCTTCTCCTCCATTCTCCTCTCGGGATCTTGGGCATGCACGCACATGCGCCCGGCGTGAATTTTAAGTCACCGCGTCCGGGACGCAAACTGCGGTCGACTACGTGGGAGTCCAGCGACATAGCTATTACACTAACTGCTGGTTCCCATGCCTGATACGTTTTTTAAGCCTCCAGGGCCAGGATTAGAACTGCAGTTGGTCATGTGAGTTCTAGGTCCCTTAAATAAATAAATAAGGGGCCAGCAGGCTATGGGACCAGTCCAATAATTTAAATATTTTATACTGTTTTTGTTGTACAACAACAGCATTACAACAGTAAAGTTGAAAACTTTCATTGTAACTCTGTTCCCAGATTACCGTGTTTTTATATTTTTGTTTTTATATATACATATATATATATATATACATGTAAATTTTTATATAATTATTAAGATGTAAATAGAATTTTGTGTCCTATTTTATAATTTTTTTAAAAATGTTATTCATCATCATTATTTTTTAATTTGACCAAAGAGAGAGAGAGGGAAAGTGAGAAAGCAAGCCAGATCTAGGACCCAAATCATGGGAGTCCACCACCATGCCACCTGTTAGCCCCCCTATTTTATAATTGAACATTGTGCTGTGAACATTTTATTATTATTATTGCTACAGTCTTTGATTTTTTTGTCTTTTGTTTGAGTTTTGAGTTTTTTTTTTTTTCTTTAGAGAATGTGCACTTGCCAGGAAGAGACAGACGCAGTGATAAGGAAAGTGAGAAATTATCACCCAAGGGGGATGGCCATATCACAATCCCTTCTCCTCCATTCTCCTCTCGAGATCTTGGGCATGCACCTACATGCGCCTGGTGTGAATTTCAAGCCACTGGGTCTGGGACTTGAGCTGCGGTCAGCCATGTGAAAATTCAGCAACGTAACTGCGGTACCATCTGCTGGCCATGATATTTTCATCTTTTAATAGCCATCTGAGGTATTTTTGAGTTAGTATACAAAATCTGTTTAATTATTTCCCTATTGTAGAATCTTTTTTTTTTTTTTAGAGGTTTTGGTCTTAGGGTGCATGTGCTCTCTGGAAAGAGAAAGAGATAGTGAGAGGGAGAGTGAAAAATCACCCCCCAGGCAGATGGTCACGCCACAATCCCTGCCACAGTCCCCTCTCCATTCTCTTCCTGGGAACTTGGGCACACACGCACCAAGTGCCTGGCATGAGTTTCAAACCACTGGGTCTGGGACTTGAACCAGTTCTACCTGTGGGAGTCCAGAGACATAACTGCTTCACCATCTGCTGGCCCCAAAACTACAATTTTTGACCAAGTTAGGCTTGCTTCAAATTTTTAAATATTTATTGTGACTGAACTTTTATACAGAATATCTTTGAATGTATAGATATTTTTCTTCTGAATTTGTACCTTATAAGTTTTATGTCTGTTCTTAAGGGTATGTGCTCTTTTTCTTTCTTTTTTTTTTTTTTTGAGAGGTTTTTGCTATAGGGTGCGTGCACTCACCAGACAGACAGAGAGAGACAGAGAGACAGAAAGCGAGAAATCACCCCCCAGGGGGGATGGCCATGCCGCAATCCCTTCTCCTCCATTCTCCTCTCGGGATCTTGAGCACGCACACACATGCGCCCAGCGTGAGTTTTAAGCCACTGGGTCCGGAACTCGAACCGCTGTCGACTATGTGGGAGTCCAGTGACATAGCCATTACGCTAACTGCTGGTCCCAAGGGTATGTGCTCTCTCTAGAGAGAAAGAAAAAGTACCTCCCAGTGGAGCGTGGTCGTGCCACAAATCTTTTTCCTCCATTTCTCCATCCTGGCAAAATTTGTGGTATGCACACTCCTATGCCCAGCATTTTTTGTTTCAAGACATCAGGGCCAGGATTCAGACCACAGTTCAGACATGTGGGATCCAGTTCCATATGTACAGGGCTTAATTTCTGTTCTATGGGACTGACCCTTTGAATTATTTTTAGGACAAGTTTCAGAATAAAAATTACTAGGTCCAGGGGGCCAGCAGGTAGGGGGGTTAAGGAGCTGGATACCCACATGATTGATTGCGGTTCGAGTCCCTGATCTGGTGGCTTGCTTTGTCACTTTCTGTCTGTCTGTCTGTCTGTCTCTCTCTCTCTCTGCTCTCTTTGGTGAGCATGCTTGTCCTATAGCAAATTAACAAAAACAAAGTTGATAATAAATAAAATCAATTTATTAAAAATAAAGTTACTAGGTCAAAAAGGTTTGATGTGGGACAGCAGAGGACATAATGGTTACGTCACTGGACTCCTACGTAGTTGACCACAGGTAGAGTCCTGGACCCGGTGGCTTAAATACACACCAAGTGCGTGTGTGCCCAAGATCCTGAGAGGAGAGTGGAGCAAAAGGTATTGTGGTGTGGCCATCCCCCCTAGGGGGTGCCCTTTCTGTCTCTGTCTTTTTGGAAAATACACATGCCCTATAGCAAAAATCTCTCTTTTAAAAATAAATAAATAAATACATAAATAAGGGGCCTGCAAGTGGTGTGGTGGTTAAGGGTGTCGGACTCCCACACAGTCGACTGTGGTTCAAGTCCTGGCCGCTTGCTTTCTAACTTTCCTTCTCTCTCCCTTTCTCTCTCGCTCTCACTCTCATTCTCATTCTGGTCCCTCTCTGGTCAAATTAAAATAAATACATAAATAAAGTTAAATAATTCTTTAAAAAAAAAATAAAAGGCTTGATATTATGTTTTCCTAAAGTCAATTTAAAAATTATATAATGCTTTTTTTTATAATTGATTTAAAAATAATGCAGACATTAATGTAGATTTTGGGTAAAAAGAAATGAATATTCTAATACTCAAGTCAATAACTATTCTTCCTTTGGCATGTATTTGTTATCTTCCTACACTTAAATATGTATCTTTATATTGTTCATAGTATTATTGCTTATAATTTTAATAATTTTTTTCACAAAATACCAAATATTTTATACTGTTTTTATTTATCTTGTGAATTTTTTTTAAATTATGGAAATAATTGTGGCTGGCAGGTGGCATAGTGGTTAAAGGTGCTGGACTCCCATATGGCTGACCATGGTTCAAGTCCTGCACCTGGCAGCTTGCTTTCTCACTTTCTTTCTCTCTTTGTCTGTCTTGCTCTGGTCAAATTAAAAAATAACAATGATGAAAAATAAAAAATAATGATGATAAATAAAATAAATGAAATAATTTAAAAATAATTATAGAAATAATATAGAGAATATATTAGCCATTCTTTGGCATTTTGTCATAATTTAAATATTTAATGAGTAAACAATATGGAGGAAGAAGTACTTCATTTTAATTCTCTTTCTCCTCTAGGGTGACTGTGAAGATCATGCTAACCTTCTGTGTAGCCTGCTTCTTGGATATGGATTAGAAGCCTTTGTCTGTGTTGGGACCAAGGCAAAAGGAGTGCCTCATGCGTGGGTTATGACCTGTGGAACTGATGGGACTATCACTTTTTGGGAGAGTTTAACAGGACACAGGTTAGTCAGCTGAGTTTATAAGGATAATAAAATAAGATACAAATTCTTTTTTTAAAAGAATTATTTAATTTTATTTATTTAATTTGCTATAGGGCCTGTGCACTTATCAGAGAGAGATGGAAAGAGAAGGAAAGTGAGAAAGCAAACTGCCAAGTCTGGGACTCGAACTGCAGTCAGCCATGTGGGAGTCCAGCCCCTTAACCACTATGCCAACTGCTGGCTCCAGATATAATTTAAAAAAATTTTTTTTAAAAAGAATTATTTATTTATTTAATTATTAACTGTTATTCACATGAATTATGCCAGAGAAATAGAGAATGAGAGAGGGAGAGTTAGAAAGCAAGCTGCCAGGTCCAGGACTTGAACCACAGTCAGCCATGTGGGAATTCCAGCACCTTAACCACCCTGCCACCTGCTGGTCCCTATAATTTTTTTTTTTTTAAGAGATTTTTCTATAGGGCATATACACTTGCCAGAGAGACAGAAAGTGAGAATTAAACCTCCAGGGGGAATGGCCACATCCTAGTCTCTAGTCCTCCATTCTCCTCTCAAGATTTTGGGCATACAAGCACACACGCCCAGCGTGAGTTTCAAGCCACCAGGTCCAGGGTTTGAACTGTGGTCGGCCATGTTGGAATCCACTGACATAACTATTATGCCATCTGGTGGACCGTGGATATAAATGTTTTAAATTAAGGGTTTTTGTTCATTAAGTTGCTTCAATGAATAGCAGTTAAGTAAATGAACACAAAATTTGTACCCCTAAAATATTCTTTATAACATGATATTGGTAAAAAAGTATATCATATTTAGGGCTAGCTCCTTGGCTTTGTGGTTGAGGCAACCAGATCCCGTATCACTGACTGCATGATTTGTGTCCCCACCCTGGCCACTTGGGAACACCTGGCATGTGTGGCCTAAAATTCCAACAGGATGGAGAATTGGAGGAGACAGAATTGTGGCATGCCCATGCCCCATTGGGAATGCTCTCTGTCTTTTCTCTGAGAATGCTGTCTGTCTGTCTGTCTATCTTCTCTCTAGATAGCACACAAGCCCTCTGGCAAGTTAAAAATAAGTAAATTATATTTACTTTTAATTTTGTATACCTGGCATATGTTTTTTTCCTGATAATCAACCTAAGCTTAGAAATAAGTTCAACTTGTACAGCATGAGTTCTTTTGAAAATTTGATGTGGTCACCATTCTGTTTCATATATCCATTGGACATTTTTTCCCCCATTATATTGTCCTGTCAGATTTGGGTACTGTTTTCTTTCTGGAACATTCTCTTTTCTTAGCTTTTCTTTTATCATTATCTTTCAGTTTTCACTGTTCCCTTAAGATTGTTCTTCCTGGGAACCAGCAGTTAGCGTAATGTCTATGTCGCTGGACTCCCACGTAGTCGATTGCGGTTCTAGTCCCAGACCCGGTGGCTTAAAACTCACGCCAGGCGCGTGTGTGTGCATGCCCAAGATCCTGAGAGTAGAATGGAGGAGAAGGGATTGCGGCGTAACCATCCCCCCTGGGGGGTGATTTCTCACTTTCTGTCTCTATGTCTTTCTCTCTTTGTCTGGCGAGTGCACGAGCCCTATAGCGAAAACCTCTCCAAAAAAAAAGATTGTTCTTCCTTGGTTTCCTTTTATCTTGTCTTTAAATTATTGTATGTAGAGGCACAGTACTGGACTCTCTTATCATGACCTGTGGTTCTCCTTCTTTCTGGTTGGTAATCATTTGGTTAGTCAAGCCTATAATTGTGTGTACTCAAGGTGATTTCAGAAAGTTATGGGAAAATGGAATTAAAGTGCAAGCTTTTTTTTTTTTGAGAGGATTTTGCTATAGGGTGTGCGCGCTCACCAACAAGAGAGAGACAGAGACAGACAGGGGGGATGGCCACACCACAATCCCTTCTCCTCCATTCTCCTCTTGGGATCTTGGGCACGCACGCACACGTGCCTGGCGTGAGTTTAACCACTGGGTCTGGGACTCGAACCGTGGTTGACTGTGTGGGAGTTCAGTGACATAACCATGATGCTACCTGCTATTCCCAAGTGCAAGCTTATTTTGATACAAAACAATTTAAATCCGTTCATAGTTTTTTTATAATTCTCATTTTTCATGAACTTTTTTCTTTTGGAATGAACTTTTTGAAAACTCATTGTGTGATAGAATATATTCAATTGTTAAAGGAATAAAGTTGGTTTATATAGTATAAGATGTACCATACACAAATACAGTTTGATTACTCAGTCAAATTGTGGAAATATAAGAAGTAAAAGCAAGTATTAAACTTTAGTCCTGGGAAGTAGTTAGGCTTTAAATAAGAGTTGGAATAATTTTTTTCTTGTTTTTTTTTTTCCTTGCTGACTTCTTGATGTCTTCCGTTCTCATTATATAAAATTATGATTTGATTTTTTTAGGTACATCCACAAACCTACCAATCCTGATGAGCCTCCACTTGCTGAACAGCCTAAACCATTGTATCCATACCGAACAATTGGTTGTGTTTTCAATCATCAGATGTTCCTGGGAAATTGTCAACCCTCTGATGCGGTAGAAACCTGTATATTTGATTTGAATGATGAATCCAAATGGAAACCCATGAGTGAAGAAGCAATTAAATCTGTGTGTGCTCCAGGGGCTACAACCTCTCTTCCTCCCTTTCCACCTCTGTGTGCATCCACAATTGATGCGTCAGTAACAAGTAATGAGATAGAAATGCAACTGAGGCTCCTGGTGTCTGAACACAGGAAGGTAATTGACACTGAAACAATTGTGATTTCATTGTTATGTATTTAACAGTTTTTTGTTTTTTCACGTATAGAAGTGCCAGTCACTGTTCTAGCCCTAAACAAACCAGATGACAGTCCCTACAGTGAAAACTGAAAGATAATGATAAAAGAAAAGCTAAGAAAAGAGAATGTTTTTTTTAAGTTATTTTATTTAACTTTGTTTATTATTATTATTATTTTCCAATTTGATCAGTGAGACAGAGAAAGAGAGAGGGAAAATGAGAAAGCAAGCCACCAGGTCTGGGATTTGAACCACAGTCAGCCTTGTGGGAGTCCAGCGCCTTTAACCACCACACCACCTGCTGGCCCTATGAAGCTTACAGTTTTGAAAATCATGTGATTTTCTAGATGTCCTGTTTTTCTAGATGTCCTGTTATTCCGTCTAGCAGTGAAGCGTGGTGGATTTGTTCATCTGAGTCAGACTTTGTGGAATACCATTAACTGGTCATGGGCACTTAATGTGTCACTCAAGTGCCTGGCATACTCGCGGTGGTCTGTGGACAGAAACCTTTTACCCTCCCATGTGGCTTAGCCTCTCAGAGTCTTGGGTTTTTACCACTGCACCTCTGTTTGTCTCTCGTTTTTTGATCATTTCTAAGAAGTAAAGCCTGGTCGTGAGTAATTCATTTTTATTTCTATGCATCCCTATAATAATTAATAGGAAGTTTTTGAAAAAATGACAATTTTAAAAAGTATTTTCTTGATATACATTAAAATAATCATTTTTATTTCATTGTTTTTTTTTCAGAAAATTATTTTAATAGTTACAAAACTTTTTCTTTACAGAATCAGTATAAAATAGTAATTGATTTCTCCATAATTATCAGAATTATTTATATTTGAGGTCTTGGCTAAGTGGGGCTGAAATCAACAAAAGGTCTTGGACTGTTGGCTCAGTAATCCTAGGAAGCCCGCCTTGTTGATGTCTGTCATGCTTAGCTCTTAGGAGCTGGCTGG